CCCTCTCTTTCTCTTTCCTCTCCCTCTTTCTCTTTCCTCTCTCTCCCTCTCCCTCCCTCCCTCCCTTTCTTTCTTTCCTCTCCTCTTTTCCTCTCCCCCTCTCTTTCTTTCTTTCCTCTCCCTTTCTCTCTCCCTCTCTCCCTCCCCTTCCCCCTCCCTCTTTATTTCCTCTCCCTCTATCTCTCTTTCTCTTTCATCTCTATCTTTCCTCTCTCTCCCTCCCCTCCCCCTCTCCCTTCCTCTCTTTCTCTTTCCTCTCCCTCTCTCTCCCTCCCCTTCCCCCCTCCTTCCCTCCCTCTCTCTTTCTTTTCTCTCCCTCTCTTTCTCTCTCTCTTTCTCTTTCCTCTCCCTCTCTCTCTCTCTTTCCTCTCCCTCTCTCTCCCTCTCTCTCTCCTGACTTGAGGTGTAAAGATGAGTGGCGGCAGGTATGTATATATCAAATCTACGGAATCAAATTAGCAATTTGTTCCCATTGTCACAAGCAGAGCTGGGAGGCTAGGATAACACCGGCTCCTAAAAACGCCACACTAAATTCTGAAGGAAAATTACGACATCCTCAATTGTCCTAAATTCAAAATGGGATTTAGCAGAATCAGGAGCTCAGCTACGTCTTCTGAAATAAAGGAGCACGTTTTCGATCTTCTGGGGTTGTTGTTTTTTTTAAACATCCCACGTAACGTTTGTAACGTTAACTAATCCAATATACCTTCGAGACCGCCTTCTGCCACAGATTACCTCCCATCGGCCTGTACGCTCCCACAGGGTGGGTCTCCTCAGGGTGCCGTCGGCCAGACAGTGCCGGCTGGCGACCCCAAGGGGGAGGGCCTTCTCTGTGGGAGCCCCCACCCTCTGGAACGAACTACCCCCAGAGATCAGGGTGATCCCTGATCTCCCTTCCTTCCGCCGCGCCCTCAAGACATGGCTATTCCAACAAGCGGGACTGGCCTAGGGCAATTTTTAGAGGGGTTTTAATCATATTTTAATTAGACAACATTTAAATATTTCTTTTTAACTAATTTTAATTTTGTAATTGTTATTGGTGTATTTTTAACTGATTGTCAGCCGCCCTGAGTCCGCAAGGAGAAGGGCGGGATATAAATTCAATAAATAATAATAATAATAATAATA